AAAGTTCAGTTCAGGTTCAGGTTCAAAGATCTGCAAAATTTGTGGTTCAGGTTCAGTTCAGGTTCATTGAACCTGAATTTGAACTAAACTGAACCTAGGAACCCTAATATACTATTAATCATTGACATAAATGTGTTTGTAACTTGGTGCATCTTTTTTGGATTGTTTCAGTAATGAACTGCCTGGTTTGTCTAGCATTTTCAAGATTGCGTAAATGATAAAGACTTTTCCATTCAGTATTAGTATTGGTAAGCCATGCTGTATTTGATGAAGTACTAGAAGAGAGGAGAGAAATATCAAGCTGGCATTGTTAATTAATTGTATTAATAGCAGAGTTGAGGTGAATAGGAATAGAAAGATTGTTGGTTATTGCAAATTTGGTTTTTCGAATAATACTACCAAGCTTTTTAAGATTTGTATGTAGAAGGGAGGCTTTAGATGTGAAGATGTGTTGGAAGTTTCTGACAGCAAACTTTTTGTTGGGGATGTGCTTAAGAGCAGCTGAAATAATACTAGTTTGAATTTTGTACTAGGTTGTTTCTAAAGACTCGCTGGTAAGAGTTGTGAGGGGTGTGTTGTATTGCAAAAGATTGAAGTTTACTTGGTTAGTATAGTTCTCCCAAAGTTCTTTGTTCATAGCCTTGTAGTTGAATACTCTTCTGCAAGTACAAGTCTTGTATTCCTGTGTAGGTATGAGGAAATGACCAATGTGAGATTAGGATTTTGTAGTCACTGCTGGTACTGGTATTAGTATCGTTAATGCTATAGTTGATAAGGAACTATAGAATGGGTTGGTATGCCCAAATGTAGTTTATCTCTCTCTGGTATCTGGAGCTGCTTCAGGTAGGTGCTGACTGGCTAGTATAGGCTGCCAGGTTGTACATACTGTTGTTGGCAAGAAATTGAAAGAGCTTGTGTTTAATAGAACTGGACCGGTTATCACAAGCTGTTGTATTGAAATTTCCAAGAATAATTAGAAGCAGATTATTAGAAAGTGCTTGTTGAACCTATTGGATAATAGTATTCTGTGTCTGTATTCTAAGCAGCGAGTCATTAGAGGGCAGATAAGTGGAGATAATTTGAAATTTAAAGTCGTGTTTAAAGAGCAGGTCTATGGTAATCGCATGTTCTGGTGCTATGATAATTTTATGAATATGTGGAGTGAACTGGTTTTGTATCATAATAGCAGTTCTAGCCCTTGAGCTATCAGCACATAACCAATAGTAGGTGTAGTGAGAAGTTTTTAGAGGCTTGGCTGTCCTAGTGCATGTAGCTAGTTTGGTTTCAGTAATACTTACTATACTAAGATTTTGTGTAGTGCAGTAGTCTTCCTATGCTTCTCTTTTGGTGTCATTATTAAGTCCTTGGATGTTGTGGGTGCATATAGAGAGATTAAGTAGAGAGAAGTTAGTGTTGTAGCTAGTTGGAGGTGGAGGAGTAGGGTTTGTGTTAGTATTCATATAGTGTTTAGTTTGTATCCATCGATGCAGGATTGCTCAGTGGAGTGAAGTTGGTCATTGTATTTGTTGGTTTTAAGTTATCTGGTAATGTATTAACATAATTAGCTATTTGAGAAATAGCACTAGCCAGAGATTGAACAGTGCTAGGTGATACAGGTTGATCAGTATTGTTGAAAATAGTCCAACTTGGTTTCGTAAGAGGTGGGAGTTCAAGAATAATGTCAGGAATTGTTTTGATAGTGAAGTGTTGTCTTAGAAGTTTCATTGTAGATGTGGCTTTTTCTTGGGACTTGGTAGAAAGTTTTACTTTAATATTTAAGGGTAGAGTATAGGGTTTTTATTTTATTATAATCATATCAGGTAATAATAATCATCAAAAAATAATCTACAGTATGCATAACTGTACTACAGAATTACTAAATTGAACATTCTAGAAATACCGATATATTAACGGTTTATTATTTTATCCAATACTTCCATTCTTGCGCTTTTACTATTTCTTTGGCACTGTCTGAAAGCCCTTCAATAACTAAAGTGCATGACATATACCCTGTTTCATGTGGTCTTGATAATATAATATCTTGCAAAACTAAGCCTCTTCTAACCAAGTCTTGGAGTGCAAATTCTGCAAGCTCGGCGGTACTTAGTAGCTTTAGCTTGCTTGATTTTTTAATATCTTGTTGATCATAAAATTCTTCTAACTGTTGATATCTAAATTTTCTTATTCTAGCCGTATTTGACTTTTTAAATACTCCTATAACATCAGCAGGTATGATTTGGCGATCATAAGTTGTTGTTAAGATCTCTATGACATGTAATAGTTCTTCAATATCAGGTGTTATATTTCTAATAGTTGGTTTATCTTTAATATGATATTGACAATTATCACATTTGGTACATTCACTAGGTTTTTCGTCTCCACTCCAAGCAAGATGTTCTATAAGCATTTTCATTTGACACTCATATTTTGTAGCACAAAAAGGAGCATTTCAAATATATATATATTTTTTTTTTGAAAAATATACTTGATCAGCTGTTTCAGATAGTGTGAAATTTTTTGGCATACTAGAATAGTTTGAATTACTTTAGTTAATTAATATTGATTATATTTATAGCACTAAAGCTTACCTTTCACGATTTTCTATAATTATCACATAATTGGTTTTTATATCTCGATTAGTATAAAATATCACATCTTGTGCATCTTGGCGGTCACAGCCTGCTCATCCAGATTGTTGAATTAGATCAGCTAAAACAAAAGGTCAGTTTATGCTTTAGTTATTTGTTTTATAAATTTAATGAAACTTACTAAGACTCATTAGAAACGTATAATGCAATATTAATCTAATTTCTAGGTCATTCACACCTAATCCGAAGGCTGAAGTTGCGATCATTACTTTGATTTCACCACAGTTCCATTTTTTAATTGTTATATCCTTTTCTGATTCATTCATTTTTCCATGAAAGATATTAAAAACTATCTGAGGAAGCCTTTTTTTCATCTGTTTCAATATCTTATAACAAAGTTTTATACTTGCGCAATATATGATTATTTTACCCTCAGCTACTTTACCAATTAGATTCACCATATTATCAAAAACAATATCATTTATATCATGTCTTTGTCGATCTTCATACTGAATTTCTTTTCTTTCTTGATCATTACTTCTGATAATAGCTAAATTTGTGTCTAATAGGTTCATACTTTTTTTAATTGCTTGCATATCATCATATAAGCATGTGGTGATTAGCATTAGTATAGATGCGAGGGGGTATTGTTCTTTTAGAACACTTAATTTGCTCCATGAATCTCTTTTTGTTTAGCCCCTATTGGTTATGCTTTTGAAACTATTAACAATTTATAATTAAGAATTTACCTGAAATGTGCAAAATCAAGCACACAGTGAACCTTATCTACAACAAATTGTAGTTTTTTAGCATTATATAGCCGTCTAAATAATCCTGTAATTGCCTTATTAAGAACTAACTTTTTTGGAGTAATAAACAAAATTCGAGTCCAGCCTAGTGCTATTTCATGAAAAATTTTTTCTTTATGGATTACTGTTTCATTTGATAATGTCCAAAGTCCGGCACAAGGAATCCCATAGTTAACTAATTCTATTTTGGGAGTTATAAGGTATTGCAAAATATTTAAACTATTAAATTTTTTATACTTTTATTATTGAATTAAATTAACACTTACCACCTGATCTTTGATCAATGCTATTAATAGGCTAAGAACTACTATTAAACCATCGAATATAATAGCAGCTGTAGTATAACAAAAGGTTTTTCTGCCTCCTGTTTTCATCACTAAAAATGTATCCTTTTTATATTCACAATAATTTATAATTGTTTGTTCTTGGTTTTCATACAGATTTTTGTAATTAAATATTTTAGTAGCAATAAGTAATATAATATCACTTATTGACATTTGTGAGCATTTTAAGTTAGGCTTTTTTTCTGATTCGTTGAGAATTCGATCTGACCAACCAAGAGCTATATAGGCCCAGCACAATTTACAGAATCCAGATAATGTATATTTTTTAAATATATGACACTCTTTACATCTAATATGGCTTTCAAAGTCATGATTTAATATCCAAATGATGGATAAAAGTGTAATTTCGTAGCCGCTCTTCAGCATAATACTTGTATGAAACTAGCTCCTTTCAAATAGATTTTACAGTATATTAAAATGAGTAAGTTTTAAAAATTATATTGCTTAACTTTACCTGGTCAAAATTAAATCTATTTAACTCCTTTTTATCACTTGCATATTTTTCAGATCGTGCCTTATTCTAATTTATAATTGCTGCCTTGTTTTGTGACTTTTGATTTTCTCGTTCATCACTTATTTTATTAATATTATATAGATCTTCCCTGCTAAATTCAACGGATGTATAGTTTTCACAGAGACTTTGCAAAACTGCCAAATAACCCTTATTATAATGAAGAATAGCTAATGCATACCGGGTTTCATAAGAACTTTAATAATCTATTTTCTTGTCAAGGTAAACAAGTTTAACTCTATTAAAAGCCTCATTTGTTAAAGTTCTAATATCTGTGATTAGTCCTTGTCCTCTGGGCAAACAAAAAATAGACTTTAACATAGGCCGAAAATTTTCAATATCAGTGTTTGACATTTTTTGAAGTGTAGGTGATAACAAAACAATTTCAGGATTATTGCGAATCCAGCATACTTCAGGCCAACAATTAGCATGATTATCACATAAGTGATTTATAAGTCTTTCAATTTGCATCTCTTGTAATTCCTTTTCAGACAGACTTATTAATTCTAAATCTTTTTTTCATAAGCTAGCTGCAAAAATACAACTAGTGAAATGTTTCATAATATGTTGTTCATATGAGTGCCAACGATTATTTATTTTGGATGCTAATTAGAAATTAGTATAATATATTTAACTTATATAATTAAATTATGTATATTAAAAAACGTAATATACTTAATGCTTTTCTAATATTCTTTGTAATGTGTTTTAAGTCTGCAAAAATTTGATTAACTAATGGAATATCTGCGAGAGTTTTGTTTGTATCAAGATCACCGTCAACGCATATATTAATTAAAAAATCTTGGTTTTTCAATATAGAAGTTATTTTGCTAACTAATTCACTAAGAACTGCATGCTCCATATGCCAAGAGCTTAGATCATAATTTCCTTGAAGAATAATATGATCTCCTGTTTTTTTATTTTTATATAGCCGAGATTTTTGAACAGTTTGGAAGGCGATAATTGGTTTATAATAGTCTTTTTTTTTTTTATTAAAATTAAAAATTTTTTATAAATACTAATTGTATATGATTATATTTTTTAAATACTTGATATTAAAAAAAAATTTTTTTTTCTTTGAGCAAAATTTTATATTTCTGAATAGAATTAATTAATAATTATTATCAGTTTGATAGCACATTCTTACTAGTCTTACCTTCAAATTCTAAATGGCATATGAATTCACCACTTGTCTGTTTAGTATTTCTTCTGTGTGACTATGATACATCAAAACTTATTGGAAGAATTTTTTTATTTTCATATAACTCCAATTTAGTTGGATTATTAACTTGTTCGGTAAGTGATTGTTCTACGTGTTTAATACATTTGATAATTGCATCATTTGTTGATGATTTTGCTAATTCAATAATTTTTGAAAATAGATGATGTTGATGATTATGATAAATTGTTTTAGAACATTGTGATGTAATGCCAATAGTCGCCAAAAAACTTTGCACAGCATGCTGAGAAACTCCAGCTCCTAATCCATCTGCAGCTACTGCTTTTGAAAAACAAATATTCTTTTTTTTATTTGAAATCTCTATAATAGTTTCACATTTCTTATATCAAATAAGACATTTAATTTTGAAACCTATAACCATTAATTGGCAGTCTCGTTTTGATATTAGATAATTTCTACAGTTATTGCATGGTCTTTTAAAAGCCAATAATAAGTATACTTTTGTATCTACGAGTAATGTTGAGCCAAGTTTCCATTTTTCAATTAAATCATTGATAGTTGTATGTAGTATTTCATCATGGGACGAATCTATATCTTGATCAGGTAAATTTGTTAATTTGGTAATTTTATCTTTTAACCGTGTAATGGTCTTTTTGGCATTCTTTAACTCATTCTTAATTGTGTTATATTAGGCTTGAGTTTCTTGAGGTGATAAATATTTTCCAGACTTATTGAGCATTATGCCTTTTCTTATAGAGGCCTCTTCTGTTTCCATAACTTTTTGTAATTGATACTTTACACGAGTAAGAAAATTTTTTAAAGTTTTTTCTGTGTTAAATGCTTTTATTGTTTGTGAATAGTGATTAAAAAGATTCAGATATTTTTGTATTATTGTTTCTTGTAAATACTGAATATTATTTTTGTCTGAAAGTCCTAAATACTATAGCGGAGAATGATTGTCTAACCAATTATATTTACTGAAGCATGTCTTAAACCAAATATTATCTTGTCTGCTATCTTTTAATAATTTAAAAGTTTCATCTTTTGCATAAAAATACCATTAGTAAATTAGTTAACAGTTTGTATCTTTTATAATAGAAAGTTTAAAAAAATTATCATTAATTTTTGTATATATAGTATATCTGGGTAATAAAGGTGCCCATATTATTTCATCCTTTTTTGAAGGTTGATATGCGTAATATCCTGCAAGGTCATTTGCATTAGGATTGTTTTTATTAACTTGTGTTATAATTGATGTAAGGACTTTATAAAGGTCTAAAACTTTTAATTCATGTGAAATTTCATAGACGATTATACTTTTATTATCTCTTTAAATTATTGTTCGCTGAATATATGTTCTATATTTTTCTGAAACAAGTTTATAATACCATTTATTCATTTTCTAAAATATAAATAATTTATATATTTTAGAATATAAGTTATACAATTTAAAAACTTTATTTTGTTACAGAATTACTATCGATATAAATATTGCGCCAAACCAGTTTTTATATAAATATAATATAAAATATAATAAAATTAGTAGTATTAATTTCTAATAATACGTATAAGTTATTCTCCATTCTCTTTATTGTATTTGTATAAAAGTTATATAGTCAACTCTATATAACGAACCGATGATTTTGAACATAAAAGTTCACTATATAAATTACTACGTTTTCTTAAAGAAAACATAGCTCTCATTATATTGAACTAATATAAAATTTAGTTCATTATGTTAGAGTTATTATAAAAAAGTTCATTAGAAAAAGAGTTGGCTGTACTGGGTATATATATATGATTTGCATATTAGTATTTTAGAATACCAATAGAATATCTGTAGATCAAATTTTATCACCCACAAAATGTGTTTGTCACCCACAAAATATATTAACTTTGCAAGTAAATTTTTAATATAACAAGTTTGTAAAAAACGGGTCTTTTGAATTGTTTTGATAAAACAGAATTTTGAAAACAGGTTAAGTGATATTTTATAAGTTTATATTTATTTTTGTGTGACTTACTCTTTGTAATTATGCTGTGTAATCTAATTTACATAGTAGAGTCATAATTAGTATAGTAAAAATGATCTACATATACTCTACCCTTAAGGATATGAGTTCTTTTCTAATATCTGTAATATCTGTTGGAAATTTAGGGAGAGGCTGTGCAGTGTCTTGTGTGTTCGTTTTGTTTTCAGTTCTGTTGGTTGAGATTTGAATCTAGCTAGCAGGTATGTGAGTGAAAAAGAAATGCTTTCTTAAAAGCTTGGCAACACTTGTAAGCTGCTGTGTAGAGGTAATAGGAAGGGTAATGCCAAGATCTTGAGGAAGCTAGTCTGCTTTAGATAAATCTGGTTTGTCTGTAGAATTTGCTTGCAATATGTCAGGTGATAGTGGGTATCTGAATCTATAGTGGGGTGTAATCTCTTAAATAAACTTCTTGGCCTCAGAGTCATTTGTAATAGGAAATGAGAATTGTGTACTAGTGCGAATTTTGGTGGGGTCTGTAGGGAGAAGTGGTTTGGTGACAAAGTAATCATTTGGAAGTAGTTTGAATATGTAATATTCTTTAACTTGAGTTACTACTTGTTTGAGAGTTAGAGATGCAGTAGCTAGGTTGTAAAGGAAAAAGCTACAGACTTTTGCATTAAGCTCCTGGTAAGTTTTAGGGAGTGGTTGTTTGGGAGGTAAAAGATCAAAATAGGAGTCTGGAATATATATTACTGTGTAGTAGTCAGCTAACTTTCTCTTGTAGGCACCCAAGTATTGGAGAGCTGATCTATGAGAGATAGAGAAGAGTTTGCGCAGATGGTCTGGCAGGTTGTTATAGTTAGCAGGTAAGGTTAGTAGTGTGGCGAAGTAAGAGGGTAAGAGTTCTGGAAATTTATAGAGCTTTCTCAGAGCATTAACAATTGCTCTAGTTTGTGATTTTTGTTTGATTGGCAAGAAGAAGGGTAGGATCTCTTGAATTTTCTGGGGGATTTTGTTTGGGTGTTTGGGTAGTATTTCTAATTTGTCTTCAAAGGCTCTGTTAACTTGTGCCTTAATATCTTTAGGTGTGTTTTTATTTTCATTAGGAATTCTCAGGAAGCCTCTTGCATACTGGATTGCTTCATATATAGACTTGGGTGTAGCTCTTGTAGTGTTGATATTAGAGAGATATTGTGCAATAAGCATTTGTCTCAACATAGTATTGATAGTGTTACATATGGCCTGATCTATTATTGTAATATTATTGCTTTCTTTGTATGTTGCAAGGGTTTTGTTAAATAAAGTGTTAAATTCTTTTTGGTATGCAGGAGTAGTTTTAGAGTTGCAAGTAAAAGTAGTGAAGAACCGAGTATCACAGTGGATGAATTTAAGTTGAATAGCAGTAGATATGATATGTTGGGTTTGGTTAGTAGTTAGCTTGTAACTAACAAACTGGTAAGTTCCTTTTGGTGTAGAAAGTGTTTGTGCTATGGCGTTATATGTCTAGGTGTTAGTGTCAAATAGTGTACATGTAGGCTTTGGGATTTTGTTTAACACTACTTGTGCCCATTTCATATCATCAGGGGTTTTAATTACAAGTGAAGCAATGTTAGTTTTAGTGATTTGGCTGTAAAGAGGTTTGAATAGAGCTGGTGCACTATTAGTAGTAGTCTTATTAGCCTTGTTAGGAATTGTGATAAGTGGGGAGGAGTTTCTGGGTCTCTTTTGTTGAAGATAACTGTAGATAGAGGTGGTGGGTTTTGTCAAGTAGATGCCAGAGGTGGTATAATTTGACTGGGAGTGTTACTAGTCTAGGTGTAGGGTTAGAGATTTGAGGTTGTGTACCCAAGGATATACTTGATCTTGTTGTACTAACAATTGTATCTGTGTCTATAATAGGGTGAGAGGCACAGGGCTCTTGAGCATGCCCCCTTGTGCATACCCCTAAGCATGCCCAGAGGCATGCCTTTTAGCTAAAAGGCATGCCCATTTTATTTGATATTTAAAAAACATATGTTAAGTAAACATGTTTTCTAATTGGTCAATTTAACTATTTCTAAAGATAATATTATTATAATAAACTTTCTATAAATAAATATTGTTGAGAAAATATGCACTTCTAAAGATCTATATCTAAACATTAATAAATTATTTTAAAGTTATTTTTTATTTTTTTTTTTAAATATTTAGTAAGATTTTGCTCTTATTATTTATTATACTAATCAAATAAAATCTGTATAATTTTATTAATAACTTAATTTAGACTAGATTATTTTGCAAACAATTAATTTATAGATGAGTTTATTTCTTAGACAGTTTAGTTTATTAGTAGATTATTTCAAAAAAAAGCTTGCTTTTTATAAACTATACTATATATCAAAGTGAATTTATAGAAGATGCACTTATAGAAAATTGGCTATATATTTATCTACAAGGACATGCCTTTAGTCCAAGACATGCTCTTCTAGGCATGCCCAAAAATTTTCTTATGCTCCTCACCCTAGTCTATAAGTACGGGAGTTGTTTCGGTGAAGTTTGTACTAGGTAGTATAGTTTCACTAATACTCCTATTTGACTTATTATCAGTTTTTATTTTAGTTATATTGTTGTATAGGATATGGGCAAGATCAGCTTTCTGTTTAGCTTTTGCAAATGGTTTCATGTTTTTTTTGTATATCTTTGTAATAGTTTTGGTGTCACAACTATGTGTAAGTTTAGGAAGCTTGATATTAATGTCTACAATATTGTTTTTCTGTGAGGTTAGGTCAAAAAGAATTGATTGGTTCGCATTTTCATGCTTGCATATCCATTGGGAAGGGTAGTCAACCAAGTTGGATATTTTTCCTGATTTGGTAATATCAATATTGAACAGAAAGTTGTTGGCATATTCTTCGATAGAGAAGCTAACAGTAAAGGTGAGTTTGGTCCAGTCTTTGATAGTGATATTGACAAATTTTTTTGTGTGTTCTGTAGCTAGGGTTGTAGGCTTGGATTGGGGATGGGTGGTCTTTGAATTTGCTGTTTTGCAAAAGGGTGAAAAATATCCCCAGCCGAAAAAAGAGCTTTTAAAGGCCATGTTTTTAGAGTGAGTTTGAGGTTCAGGCGAGCTTAGTAAACCTAACTTAGTAGGATTTTTGTATAGAGTATAGTTATTAGTTTGTTTATTATTAGTAGTATTTGGGTGGTCCTTAGGACCGCTATAGCGGGGTGATGAAAAAATTGTTTTTTGTCTATTTTTAAGTTTTTTTGCTTTTTTCTCACTAACAAAATGTCTTTTTTTAAAAAAAAAAGTGCACCTCCTTTAGATAGATTTGGAGGTGCTGGTTAACTTTACTTAGAAGCTGGATTTCAAGTTACTTAGTAAAATTCAAAGTTATAGCTGTGGAAAAATTTTTTCTTCTTGTTTCTAATTGAAAAAGTGATATGCAGGAAGAGTTTCTATATTATTAATTTTTTTTTTTTTTAAATATTAAGGTGAGGCCTTGCTCGTATCTTTATTAAATAATTTATATAAGCAATTATATAATAAAATTATATAAAAAACTTAACTTGTATAATAACAAAT